CCATGTGGAAGTAGACTGGGAGGAAATTCCAAAGAAGAGGGTCTGGGAGGTGATATCCCAGCAAGTCCACTGGGCCACTAGAGAGCATTAGACACTGGAAGTGGTGCTTGGAGACCTCAGAGCTGAGGGGCTTTTTGTTTCTGATTCCGTGATTAGGAATTTATATTTTATTACAAACATGGTAAGGGAAAATAAAGTTTTTAAAGTTTATAATGAAGAAAATGATATGCTTTAGTAAAATGATGTGTAAGTCCCTGTGCCCCTCCCTGAGAATGGCTAGCTAGGCAAGGAACCACAAGTTTCACACATTAATTTTTGGGGCAGTTGTTTTGTTTGTCTGCGTGTTTGATTTGTGTTACTATGTAGCCCAGGCTGGCTTTCACTTCATGATCCTTCTATCTCAATCTTCCAAGTGCTGGGATGACAGGTGTGTGCCACATTTGGCAGTTGCTTTAAGTATTCTTTATTCACAGATGGGAAGACTGAGGCTCAGAAGGCCTGAACTTGATCAGTCACATATCTGCAGGGACACTATATCCAAAGCCCATTCTCCTAGCCTGGTACTACTCTGCTTCCTCTGGAATTCACATGGAGAGCTTGCCATTAACAAAAGTTAAAACAGAACCAAAGGAAGTGACTTTATATCTTTGGATAAAGTTTGTTTCCCTATTATTTGTAACTTTTCTATTTTTCATCATTTTTTGCCAAAGTACAAAATATTATAAATTCCTAAATGAAAATAAGTCAAACTCAAAAGAGATAAGAGGCATAGTATTAATCTAAAATGGCAGACTGTTGACAAAGGACCACCCAGAGAATATGGTCCAGAGTCAGTTGCTCTGAATGGGAATTTATAAACTGGGACAGGCTCAGTGTACTCAGCTACGGAATAGGGGTGCTTACTGACTTGGGGTGCAGCTCAGTGGCAGAATGCTTGCCTGATGTGCATGAGGCCCTGGGTTCAACCCACAGCAATGCAGAGGATGGGGAGAGTGCTTACTCCCAGCTTTGTTGTGACACTTAAGTGAGTCCAGATATGTGAAACACTTAGCCTAGTGTGGGGACCTACTTAGGATGCTAGCAATTAGCTCTTATTCAATGGAACCATGGCAATCTTTTATCCCCAGCAAAGAACAACTTAAGGTTTTAGATAATGTTCATCAAAACAACTGAAATCACCCCAAAAGACAGCCACAAACCTTTTCTTTTGAAACTTTCATTCAAAATAATTTCAAATGTACAAAAATTTACAAAGATCAAAGTAGAAGTAACATTTGCCTACCAAGTTTTTACAAAAATTTGCTTATCAATAACATCGTATTCCTTTGCTTTGTCACTTGAGCTGCAGATCACTACAGATCTCTGTCTCTGGTTACTACTGACTGATAACTTATTTTTTTGTCTTGGGGTTTTGAGAAAGGGTATACTATAGTCCAGGCTGGTCTTAAACTTATGAGGTAGCTGAGGCTGATCTTGAATTGACCCTCTTACTTCTTAGCATGTGTTGAGTTTTAGGCATCAGACACAATGCCTAGCTTATTCATAACTCATGATTACTCATTTTCCATTGCTGAGCAACAAATCACCATGCATCTATCTATTTACAACACCATCATCTAGTAAGGTCACATTTGTGTAGACCCAAAATTTGATGATAATGTAACCAGGAAAGCCACTAAAGGTAAAATCAAAGATAGCCTTTCTAATTACAAGAGGAAATTCTCAACATCCTTAGCATCAGGCAAACACAAACCTAAATTACACTGAGTTGGGTATGGTGTCACATACCATAAGTCCAGTGAGGCAGGTGAATTGCTATGAATTCCAAGCCAGATTGGTCTATGTACCAAGTTCCAAGCCAGACAGTGGTTGGTCTGGCTCTGTCTCAAGCAAATAGAGAGACAGACAGACAAACAAATGAAGCCCCAACCATCTTGAGATTTCACCTTACCCTACTCAGAATGGCTATAGTTAGAAAAACAGATAACAAAACTATTCAATGTGTGTGGGGGTTATATACCATTGGTGGGAATGTAAATGCATCCATCTTCTAGGGAAAGCAACATGGAGAGTCCTCAGAAAACTAAAATTAGAATTTACTTATCATCCAGTTTTGCACTCTGTGTTCCTCCCTGAAGGAACAGAGGCACCACAGGAGAGAGATACCTGCATATCTATGAAGTATTCACAGCAGAACTCACACCAAAGTGTCTGCTTCTAGAACCATTCAGCACAGTGAAGTCAAGACATTCCAATTAAAGACTTCAAGGAAGGAAATCTCCGGGTATTGAGTTTTGTATTATCTTCTTGTGTTGTCTGGGCCCTAACTGTGGAGCAATAATACAGCTGCATGTAAATTCTCTGTCATTGGTGAAAATCTACCTGGGGTATGAAGGTGAAAAACAATAACAGAGATATCACATCTGGGCGGGAAAAGGCTCAGTGGGTAAAGGCGCTTGCTACCAAGCTTGCCACTCTGAGTTCGATCTTCCAGTTCCTTCCACAGGCTGGAAGGAGAGAAGCTACTCCTCAAAACTGTCATCTGGCCATCACATGAACTCGGCAGTGTGCGCATGTACATCCACACACCAATGGAGATCCATAAATACAATAAAAATACCACACCTGAGAAATCTGGATATGGTAGTGTGCCCTGTAAGCCCAGCACTCAAGATCTAGAGGAGGGTTTGTGGCTAGCCTGAGCTGCATGTGAAAAGAAGGGGGAGGGGAAAGAAGGAAAAGAGAAAGAAAAAAGAAACAAGGGGAAGAGAAAAAGCTGTCTTTTCTCACTGTGCACTTCGCTAACCTTATGCTGCTCTCTCTGAAGCAAGGCAACATGTGTAGGCCCAGTGGTGGCGGTGGGAGCACCAGTCGAGGTCCTAGCCTGGCCTGCTCCAGCCAACTCAGGAGCCCACCTCTTCCTCTGGGTGCCACCAGCTGTATCTTGCCTGGCCCATCAGCTCCTTCTCTGCCTCTCACCTGGTTTCTCAGCTCATTCACACCATCTGTGCAAGAGGTAGAGGCCCATCAGCTCCTTCTCTGCCTCTCACCTGGTTTCTCAGCTCATTCACGCCATCTGTGCAAGAGGTAGGAGTTGGCCCCACCTCACTGCGTCCTCTATGAGGTTGATAAAGGGCATTAGGCCTGAAGAGGGGCTGGTTCCACCAAAGCTCCTCTGACTTGCTTGGACGCTGACCCTTTGCTTGTCCCCAGCTCTACATGATGGGCTCTCCCCTCATGGAGGAGGAGGACATGTACCTGGACCTCTTCCTGGACCCCTATGCCGTTCAGGTGAGCCTGGCAGCCACATCGCTGAGAGCCAGTGCCGGGTTTGCCATTGTTGGCCTTGGGGAGGTTTTTTGAAAAGCCAGATCTTCCCTAAGAAGCAGGCTCGATCCAGGCTCTTCAGCTGAACTTGCAAGTTCAGTGAGGTAACTATGGTTGTCAATTAGATACCCTAGCCATGAAGTTAGATGGCTTGGTCCTGGTGGTAAAGGGACATGCTGCCTGAAGTCACCTTGGGTTCCAGAGCTTCTGGTTTGCTAGGTTCAGGACAGGCTTGGGACATCTGACTTCTGGAACTGAGAGTGAACAACTAGGCTTGAGCTACGCCCCTGCCTCAGCTTCCATGGTAGCTGGAACTAACAGGTGCGGTCCACCACCTATGGTTCATTAAGATTTTTTCAATCTCTCTCCCCCCCTCTCTTCCCCCTCTTTCATTCTCTCTCTCCCTCTCTGTCCCCCCTTACCATCTCTCTCTCCTCTCTCTTCTTTTTCCCCCCTCTCTGTCCCTCTCTCTTTCTCCCCCTCCTCCCTCCTTTTTGAAATGGGACTCTTTCTGTAGCCTAGGCTGTCCTGGAACTCAATATGTAGAACTCCAGATTCACAAAGATCCATCTGCCTCTGCTTCCTGAGTGTTGGGATTAAAGGTAAGAACCAGCACTATAGAGGCTGAGGCCAGCCTAGGCCACAATGAGACCCTATCTCCAAAACAAAACAAATATCAATTTAAAATATCCTTAATATCTCAATCTCAGTAACCTATTTATCTGCTCTAAATTCACATAAATTTTTAAATCTCTCATTTGATTAGAAAAAAAGCAATTCTGAGTCTTTAATGAGTGCTGATCATCAATTAAGACTATACTCAATATTCACATGCTTAGTCTAAAATGTGATTTTATGGAGCCACAGAGATATGGCTCAGGAGTTAGAAGTAAATACCAATCTTGCAGACAGCCTGAGTTTAGTTCCCAGCACCCAAGTGTGTGGCTCATGACTTTCTGTAACTTCATCTCCAGGGAGATCTGATGCCTTCTAGATTCCTTAGGCACCCGCACTCAAGGGCGCATATCCTCTTCACAATATACACACTGAAAAAAATAGTAAAGAAATCCTTAAAATGTGGATTTCAGACTAAAAGAACATTTAAGTCAACTGACGCTTACAATTAACTAATAGAATACAGCTGCTCTTCAATTTTATAAGTATCTTGAGTTCAACTATACCTATCACACAGCTGGAGTTAGAGGCAATTTAGCAGGCTTAACTGAAGTAGGAAACACATCGTATGATAAATGCCTTTTCTATATTTTAAGATATAGTTACAAAATATCTGAATTATTTTCTGTGTATGAGTGTTTGCCTGCATGTATGTATGCACACCTTGTTCATGACGGTGACCAGTGAACGAGTCCATAAGAGGATATCAGATCACCTTGAATTGGAGTTACAGACAGTTGAGAGCAGCCATGTGGGTGCCAGGACCCTGGGTCCTTTAGAAGAGCAGTCAATACTCTTATGGACCATCTTTCCAGCTCTAACATAGACTCTTCAGCATGCTGGAACTCTGTAGTAGAATCTTGGTGGTACTTTGTAGGAGGCAGGGTGTGGATTTAAGCAGTCTTGAACTGCCTTTCAGACTGAAGCCATTGGCTTCCTGCCATAGTGGAGTCCCATTGGTGTAACACTGGTGTTTTGATTTTTGTTGTCGTTTTTTTTGCTTTGCAAACTGCCTAGGATGACTTTCCTCCAGCCATGTCTCATCTGTTCAGCCCACGAATGCCTTTAGATGTGCACCCACTCAATCTGTCCAATCCAGAGGCTGTGTTTAATTCCCATCTTGTTGGAGTCAAAGAAACATCCAGTGACTTTTCATCTGTGGATCTAAGCTTCCTTCCAGATGAGCTTACTCAAGACAGTAAAGACCAGGTTGTCACTGAAAACAGGCACGAAACAGAGCAAAGTCGTAAAACTCAGGATCGGCAATGTCAGTTACAGTTGCCTGGTGGGGAGGACAATGGGCTGTCTGTCTGTCTGTCACCAGACTCCCATGCCCATCTGTGCCCTGATGGTGTGGCCTCCAACCAGCCCTCTCCAGAAAAACCAAACTCTGATGCCTTACCTGTGGCATCCATAGTGTCCATGACACCAATGAACCCTGTTCCAGAATGCTCTGGAATTGTGCCTCAATTACAGTAAGTGTCCTTGTTTTTAAAGTGAGGGATGTTAATAGGTGCATAGTTTATATTTCAGAACATGAGAACTAATTTCAGGATCAAGGTGTAAGGAGGAGGATTTCAGATTGCCTTATTCTTTTTCAGTTCTTAATGGGTCCTCACTAATGACCATCTGGTTACTTATAAAAGGAAACAACAGTTCATGGTCTCCTAAGAGGAGGGTCAAGATTAACAGACACATTCTTGAAAGATTGTATTGTGTATTCCAAAGCACTGAAGTTGTTCACAATGGCAGTTACTGCTGGGAAAACACAAAGGATATAAAATTGAGCTTGATTTGCAAACTTCTTTGTATTTATGGTATCGGTTTTAGGATAGTGATTTTTATTATGAAGTTAAGGTTTTTTATTATAAAATTAAGTTTTAAAACTTGAGTTATGAAATGTAAGACAATGTGATTTTTTAGCACGGTGTTGGGGTTTACACTTTACTAAGGTCCACAATACTTTGCATTCCATGTTGAGAATTCTCCCCCTAGCAAGTTGCTAAGGCAGAGTCATGAAATGAGTTAATGAAGTAAGTTAACTTGGTGTTGAAACTATACCATTATGATCTTTTGGGTTGGCTTGTTTGTTCAGGAATGTAGTTTCCACTGCAAACCTGGCTTGTAAGTTGGATCTGAGGAAAATAGCTCTGAATGCCAAAAACACAGAATATAACCCTAAGGTAAGATTCCTCAGTGTCCCTTTGAACCATTATAATTTTCTTAGCTATTGTTAATTGTATGATTATGACATTGGCTCATTTCTTTTTTTTCTAAAAATACATTCTTAGTGAGGAGTTTTGTTAACTCGGAAGGTTAACTATCTCATTTTTCATTTTGAAGTTATACAAATATTCATTCTCAGTGCTGAATAAAGCAGTAATTGAGCAATAATAAAACTAGAACTTTCTTGTCATTCAAAAAGATTTTTCACTGTGTCTATTTTCAGTCTAATGGAACACTAGCTTGAATTATCATCACATATGTGGGGTGGATTTTTTTCTTTTTGAAATGTCACCATATATAGCCCAGGCTAGGTTTAAACTTGGAATCTTCCTGCCTCCCCTCTCAAGAGCCTGGATTGCTGGTATTATAGGACTGTGTAACCATGTCTGGTTGGAAATTCTGTTTTTCTAAATGCTGCCTCACATAGCTGACACTTCTATGTTTTCCCATTTTCAGTTTCTTTTAGACAAAAAAGCTAAATTGAGCCAGGTGATTTTGGTGGCACAAGCCTTTAATTCCAGCATTTGGGAGGCATCTCTGTGATTTCAAGGCCAGTGGTCTACAGAGTGAGTTCCAGGAAAGCCAGGGATACACAGAAAAATCCTGTGTTGGTGGTGTGCAAGGTGGTGGGGGGTGGGGGCACTGGCTAAATTGTTTATAAGGCTCAAGCTTTTACTTACTTATGGGTGGTTCAGATTCCTCACCTTAAGTTTTTCTCACTATGTAAACAAGCTGGCCTCATTCTCACAGAGATCTGCGTACCCATGCCTGCTGACAGCTGTTTAATAAAATGTGTTCCTTGTGCCTCACCCAGGGCAGACATCCTGTCTTTATAAGGCCTGTACTTTGTAGAGGAAGGCAGGGTTTAAAGCTAAGTCCTGTACTTGGAGTACAATGAGGAATAATACCTCACTCGAGCTGGAAAACAGTACCTTGGATTCAGTGGTGGAAGATTTGTGCATCAGTTGGTAATCACAATAGTAGGAGAGACAGTGTGAATCAAGTCTTTATAGATCAAGTATTTGTGTTTGCTAATGTCTGAATTCAGTGTTTTATCCGGATACAAAATAGCTTTCCCTTTTATGTCTCACATCCGCTGGCTAGAGTATGGACAGAAATAACTGGTGGGGCTGGGCATGGCGGTACACACCTTATAATACTAGCATTTGGGAGGTCGAGGCAGGTGTATCTCTGTGAGTTTGAGGCAAGCCTCTTTTAGAAACTGAGTAGGTAAGCCACACACAAAAGAAAGGAAAGGAAAGAAATGCAGTTGTGAGGTAGAATTCTTATGGTGGCAGCAATGACAGATTGTAATATTGGAAAAAATCGGAAAAAATCATTTCACGCATATTGTACCCAGCATCTTCAGCTCCCCCTGCTTCTGTGGGAGAGAATTATAGGATCTGTCTGGAATTGTACTTGACAGGCAAATTCTAGGCTGGTGCTTGAGTTATCTTCAAATTTTAACAAAATCAGGATGAGAAGATAACAATTGCTGGGCCTGGTGGTGCATGTTTTTAATCCCAGTTCTTGGGAAGCAGAGGCAGGCAAATCTCTCTGAGTTCACGGTTAGTCTGGTCTACATAGAAAGCCATAGCCAGAGTCTACATCGGTGGGGTGACATAGTGAGTGAAATCCTATCTCCAAAACACAAACAAAAGCAAACAAACCAGGCAGTGCACTCGTGCAGTCCTGGCACTTGAGAGACTGGGGTAGGATTACGAGTCTGTTTGCCTGAATCAAGTGAGGGCGTGTGTCGTTCTCTCTTACTTTATGAATACCAGGGGAAATAATACAGTTTAGTATGGACATGGAAAGCATTCATGAGGACTTATCCACTCCTGGTGGTAACTCGGGTTTTTGGTGTTTCCGGTTCAAATTGCAATTGGTTGTCCGAGCTTGAAGTGAAAAGTGATCCATAATCTTTTGGAGTAGCTGCCCCCTCTCAAGAGGTTGTCTTTGCACAGGACCCACTCCAATTTCATTAATGGCTTGATGGGTGAAGGAAAGTTGGAGAAGAGTATGTGTAGGACCAATAAAGGGACCAGGTCATTCATTTAGTGCCATGCCAGTGTAATAGGGTTACTCAGGGCCTTTGTGTCCTTTAGGGGGTTTATCAATGAGCAGGCCTGGGAACATAACATTAAAAAGGATTATGAAGGCTGGAACTTGTTGAAACAGATTTTCCCTTTGTCTTTAGCTTGTCTGTCATGTATATTGTGTTCTGTATTTTAGTTGCCTTAGCATATTCTAGACTATTGGCAGTAACATACATAATAGCATACTTTTCTGTGGTGGGTTTTTGTCTTGAAATGGGATTTAGCTGTGTAGCTTAGGCTATTCTTAAACTTGGAATCCTCCTGCCTCAGTCTCCCAAGTACTGGGATTATAGGAATGTATTGCATTGGGCTCATATACTTTTTGTTTTGAGAGGAGATGAGATCTCATGTATTCCAAACTGACCTCAAACTTTAAATGCAGCCAAGGATAACCTTGAACTCCCCCCTCCCATCCCCGGCTCTACCTCCAGAGAGCTGGGATTCCAGGTGCATCACCAAACCTGGATCATTCTGTGCTGGGAGTCAGACCCAGGGCTTCATGTGTGCTGGACAAACACTGTCAACAAAGCCATAGCCTCAGCTCATCGTCTGGACTCTTACTCATATTTTCAAAAGGGTTCTGTAAGAGAAAAGGGGAGTATGTTTATGTAAATCTACTAGCTATGGCTTTATATCATATCTTTACCAAGTTCTGACAGTGTTGGAGGTAAAATTCTTAATTTCTTGTTTGTTAAATGAGGCAACAATGGGCTTGTTAGTCTTGTTATGTGTATAAATGAGAGAAAAATATAAAAGTCACTAGCATCAGACCTTAAATATAACAGATACTCTAATTTTAGGTATTAGTTTAAAAATAGCTGTAAAGTAACATTTTATAACTATAATTTTTGTTAACATGGGAGAATAGACGCAGACATTGTTTTTCTTGTCCATTTCAGTCTCAAGATTTTCACATACAGCCCAACTTTCTAACTGGGCCACTGTTAACTCCCAGTAGAGACTAATTCTCCCATTGGCTTTGGTATTCAGAGGTTTGCTGCGGTCATAATGAGGATCCGAGAGCCACGGACAACAGCCCTCTTATTTAGCTCTGGGAAGGTGGTCTGCACAGGAGCCAAAAGGTATGAGGATGAAGTTCCCATTCCTACCCCATGGGCAACTCATGATGTAAGAAAAGGAGCTTAGCATTTGTGTGAAAACTCACAGTAGGAGGAGCATGTTTTTCTGTGACAGTTAATGTGGGGTTAAAAGTTCGTAGTCTTGGCCAGGCAGTGGTGGCACATGCCTTTGATCCCAGCACTAGGGAGGCAGAGTCAGGTAGATGTTTGTGAGTTTGAGGCCAGCCTGGTCTACAGAGTGAGTTCCAGGATAGGCTCCAAAGCTACAGAGAAACTCTGTTTTGAAAAACAAAGTTCCTAGTCTTAATTTAATACTAAGTATATTCTACACTTTGTAGTCCCCAATGTTTGGTTAAGGTTCAGGGAACTTAACTGGGCTATAGGAACTTGTTTTTCACACACACACACACACACACACATTTTTTCCTGTGCAATCACGATAAGATATTGTAAACCTAGGGACCCTTTAATGTAGTTCCTTATTTTGTGGTGACCCCAACCATAAAATTATTTTCATTGCTACTTCTTAACTAATTTTGCTACTGTTATGAATCATACTGTAAACATTGTTGGAGATAGAAGTTTGCCAAAAGGATCATGACTCACAGGTTGAGAACCGCTTGGGAGTGCCTTGTACCTCTGCTGTCCACTGGGGTAGCCACTAGTTACTGTGGCTGTTAAGAATAGGAAGTATTTAAATTAATTGGATAAGCAGATTTAGAATTTTGTTTCAGTTTAAGAATTTTTTCAAACTACCAATCGGTATTCAAGTAACACTTATTGAAGAATACATTCTTGATCCATGCTCTTTTTCACAATGAGTTCTTCACATGTACCTAAATGAGACTCTGGGCCTTCTATTCCACTGGTCTATGGATCTCTCTGATCCCAGAAACCTCCATTCCTATGTAATCCTAGGACAACCGTGTAAGATATATGCAGGAATGTTCTTTTAGCACAGTTTAAAACTGGGAATCCATATTAAATATCTCAGGAGAGGGTTTTGAGTTAAGTCACAAAGTGAAATTGTACTATCTGTATACACACATTGATTGAGTAGTGTCATGGCGTGTGATTGGTTGGGGAGCAGACAAAACCGTTAAGTTTATCTGACTTTGTGTTCATATCACATACGTTGTATCTTTCTGGAATTTGGAAGCCAAATTTACATGGTGATAGTGAGTTCAGATGGAGATACAGGTTATCTGAACCTCTTTGGTTCCTACTTTTGCATAATGAGTTTTAAGCCTTTTGTTTATACAAGAGAGAACATTATACAAGAGAGAGCAAACTGTCCAAACTCTATGAAAACCTATTTTCTGTAATAAGGATGAAGGATACATGTTTGATTAGGGATATGTACAGAAGGCAAAATTCAAATAATTTTTACCACCTGTGATAAAACTTTAGGGTTTTAAATCTATTCTCTAATGTTTGCACTATGAATATGTGTATACCTTGAGCTGTGGTTAAAATAGGAACCCATATGTGAAATTTACAGTGAAACAGCCTTCCTTTATTAAATGCCTTAATTCAATTGCTAACTTGGGGAATAGTCTTGCTAAGCCATGTCAGGAGTTGGAAGTGGGTGGGGGAAACCAAGGATGATTGAAGTAAAGGGCATGGCCCAATTCACATAAGAGGACAGTGGGAGACCTAGAGAAAAGAACTCATACTTCGCTTATTCAGGCAAGCTGAGTAAAAGTGGCTTTCCTTTTAGGAACTGCTGGTTTACAACTTAAATATGGGTACATCTGTGAGACCTATGCTCACAGAATCGGCTCACAGTGCCCCCATTCCAGCAACCCTTGCTGCTCACTGTTGTTTGGGGAGGTGAACAATGTCAGATGAAAACTACAGGCCCAACTCTCAGGACATCACATTCTCTGACACAGATTTGGGGTTGACCGTTTGAAGAATGTAGCTGCAAATTTGGATACATTTCCCCTCATGCTGAGTGTGAGCCTCATAGCATCTGGGTGAGAAAGCCGTGAAAAATTGGGCAAGTTTTAAGGAATTTAAATTTGTTTTTGACAATTCATCTCATAAAGACCTAAGTCTATGCTACTCACTTGGCATATATCTGTCTTCCTTGTGTTGGTTATTTATCTATTTTTCCCCCCGCATGTCTTTGTACTAAACTTTTGCTCCTATACAAATGGCTCACACACTTTAAGACCAGGGAAGTCTGCAGGCTGTAGTGAGTACCAGAAGCACTTAGATGACGATAGACAGCAATTTGCTGGTCCCCAGACAAGAGAGTCTATGTGTCAGAGGTCACACCTGAGCCATGGCCCCTCTAACAAGATTCTAGGTCTGAGGACACACTTTGAGAAATAGTGCAGAGTTTAGTTTTCAAACATTTAAAACAAGTGAAAGTATGTTATAGATGAGATGGCCAATCAAAGTAATGAGTTTGGATCAGTTCAACAACTAATTGTACCAGACATTTAACAAGACACTATGGACAAAGGTACGGGAGGGAGATCCTTCTCATGGAGCTTCACTTACTTTTATTTTATTCTTGTGACTCTGGGAACCAAATCCAGAGTCTTACCATGTTAGGGAAGTGCTCTGTCACTGAGCCACACCCCAGCCCAGTCATATAGGTACATTGAAAGATGGACATAGGACATGTAGTAGAGAGATGTTCTGAAGCATGGGCTACAAATACAACACATATAGTAAAAGAGACAGGGTGAATAAGATGCCTAATCAGCCAGGTTTATTAATAGTAGATGCGGTTAATTAACAAGGAGTGGTGATGCATGCATGTAATCCCAGCACTTGGGAGACTGAAGCAGTAAGATTGCACAAGTTACCTACTAGCCTGGCCTATAGAGCCAGACCTTATGCCACAAAACAATAGAAAAGTGTCCTTAATTACGTTTGCATATCCCCAGTGAAGAGGAGTCTCGACTGGCAGCGAGAAAGTACGCCCGAGTGGTGCAGAAGCTGGGGTTCCCTGTCAAATTCTTCAACTTTAAAATTCAGAACATGGTGGGAAGCTGCGATGTGAAGTTTCCCATCAGGCTGGAGATTTTGGCACTAACCCACCGGCAGTTCAGTAGGTACGATGGCTTTCAAGCTTAACCTCACACTTGCTAAGCGGTAGCAGTTATAAGATTCAGGCTGTTAGCCGTAGAGCTTCCGTGGGACCGAACTAGGCTCTCTGCATGTGGGAGACAATTGTGTAGCTGGGTCTGCTTGAGGGCCCCTGACCACAGGATCAGTATCCCTGGTGCATGAGCTAGCTTGTTGGACCCCATTCCCTAGGGTGGGATGCCATGCTCAGCCTTAATGCAGGGAGGAGGGCCTTGGTTCTGCCTCAACTTAGTGGGCCATGCTTTGTTGACCCCTCTGGAGTCCTTACCCTGTGGGAGGCGTGGGTGACGGGGTAGGTAGAGGGGGAAAGTGAGGGAGGTGGGAGGGAAAACTGTGGTTGGAATGCAAAATGAAATTAAAAAACAATAAAGTTTTAAAGAATCAGGCTGGGCGTTGGTGGCGCACGCCTTTAATCCCAGCACTCAGGAGGCAGAGGCAGACGATCTCTGTGAGTTCGAGGCCAGCCTGGTCTCCAGAGCGAGTGCCAGGATAGGCTCCTAAGCTACACAGAGAAACCCTGTCTCGGAAAACAAAAACAAAAACAAAACAAACAAACAAAAAATCAGGCTGTTTATACAAGATAGCTGTCAGAGAAAGTGACTATACTTACCAAAAGATTAGAGGAGGGGCAGGGTAGATGAATGGATTAAGATGCTGTGCCTCAGTCCTCAAAAGTTACCTTATGGGCCAGGGTCTTGAAATAGTGGTTCTCACAGTGAAATTGTGTAGTTATCACTTGGGCAACTTTAGCCCACATCTCTGATTGGGCAGCTCCACCAGAAGAGACTTGACTTCTTGCAACTCTGCAAAGTTCATACTCAGCGTTGGTGCAGAAAGTCTGTATTCAGGACTAGTTGGTGCAGAAAGTCTGTATTCAGGACTACTAATCTATTAGGGTTATAAAATTGGTCCAAGTGGCTTTGGAGATGGCAGTAGATGTGAAGGGGTGAGGCTGACATCTGGAGGGTGGAGAAAGAATTGGAGAGGAGGAAAGATGGCTGTGACACAGGCTCTGTGATCCCATCTGGTCATGTTGCCGTCTTTGTGTAGCTGTAACTGCCACAGCAGTGCCCTGCTTACAGTATTCCTAGCCTAAGGGAGCGCTCTAGTCTTCCTGGCTTCTTTAATCCTAATCTCCACAGCCAGACTGGCTCCTTGGCCTCATCTCAGCCTTCAGAGACAGCTCAGACCTCAGAGATCAATACCACACCCTCCACCCCGGATACACATCTGGGTCAAAGTAACTGACCTAATGTACAATGGCAGGTGCTTTTATACTCTCTTGGTCAGTTCAGTCTCACTCCAACAGTTTACCTCCTCTGTGTGAGCAAACAGTGAGTCTGTTCCATCAAGTGGCTAAGGAGCAGTGGAAGGGGTTTTGTTGGCTTTCCCTTCAGATCCAAACCTAACAGATGTTTAAAATGTCTGGACTTTCCTTAACTGCCAAACTATACTTTATTCTGAGATTTAGCTTGGGCAATACTTTCTTCCTCCTCCTAACTGTTTATTTCCCCTCTTCTGCACAATTTACTTATTGACTATCATAGCTGTCATGTTTCTTTTTTTTTTTTTCCAAAAGTTAGTTCTGTGGACCTCTTCTTCCCTTCCTCATGCAACACACATCATCTCCCTGTGTTTTGTTTTCCAACCTGGGGTAATTTACAAACATTGTACATGCTCTATTTTAAATATGTGAACATATTTTTCCATCCAGTTTCTCCAGCCACAGGACTCCAGTCTCCCTTCTCAGAACACATAAATGAGGTCCATCTCAACTCAGAGCATGGCTGAGGTAGACTCCTTGCTCTTGTTTCAGGCCAACTGGGGCTCAACACGTTGTGTGTAAGTCCTCTTCCTTTCCCCCCCTTCCTTTCTCAACAACAGAGAGATTGCAGTTGACAGTAAAAGTCACTTGTCACCATTTTCACTTCCCCAAAAGCAAAGCACCCAGAAGAGCAAGATCAGAGTCAGCTGTCCAGTTTTTATCTTCTAGAAGAGGCCCCCACAAGTCTCTAGTTCCTAGTCGGCCAGGTTTATGAGCTCAGTCATTTTTGTTGTATCTGACTGGAAAGTGTACTTTATATTCCAGAGACCGTCTCTTTCTGGTCTGGTGGTGGCCTCCATCCACAGGACACAGATCTCAACTGCTGTGTGTGTGTGTGTGTGTGTGTGTGTGTGTGTGTGTGTGTGAGTGTTCTTCACATTGGACACCTTAAGGATACTTTCCTATGTAGAGAAAGGGATTTGTTTTTAACTTTTTTCAATGCCTGTAGCTTTCTGGAAACCTCATACTGAGTAGTCACGGTCAGGTCAAGTGTGTCTTATGTTTAAACCTCAAATTCATCTTTATTTAGGGTCAGAAAATGTGCATGTCAATATCTAATACAGGTGTGTCCTGGCTTTGTATTTAGATTTGAATCTGGTCTGGCTGAGTCATCAGTCTGGTCTCACACTATAGCAACCCTCTTGTATTAGTCTCCTGACTGCTAGGATTACAAGCATGCACCACCATGTCCAGGGTGTTGAACCTGGGGCCTCGTGTCTCTTAGGCAAGCACTCTACCACCAAGCTACATCACCACTACAGTCTCTCTTTTGCTACCTTCTCTGTCAATCTATGTAACAATCGTCTTTATAGCTTTCTATGAGCATTTCCCCTTCTGTTTTAAACTCAGAAATATGAAGATAATAATTACTTGTTAAGGGTCTAAAATCCAGATGAGTATTGTTGGTAGTAGATGAAAAGGTTCTACTGGCCACCTATGCAGCCTTAGTCCCTTGTCTACATGGAGTTTGCTGACTAAAATAAACTGTCAATGTGTTGAACTGTGGAGCTAAGTTGTCACTATGGAGCTAAGACTGTTCTTTGTGCAAAGGGACCCTAGCAGGGTGCTCTGTGCATGTAGATTCGGAATCAGAGCAGTGCTTTTGGAGAGGTGACACTGGAGGTTGAACTGGCAAAGGACTCATCAGGTGCTTGCTGTTCACTCTCTGGAATGGTGTCTGTCCTCCCTTTCTCTGGGCTGCAGCCCTCTTTTATTTATACTGATGAACAGGATAAGTAACACATCTCTAATCAGGAGTTCATCATTTAAAAACATGATTTGGGAAGTGACTTCCATACTCTTCAGGAGTGTCACCTCCTCAATGTGATCACCTTTCTATTTCCAGCTGCTACAGTTTTATTGACTGAAGAAGTGCAGGTGCTTGTGGTGTGGTTCATCCTCTACACACGAAGGTTTGAGTAGATCCTAGTGTACTACTTTTCAGATGTCTCGTTTTCCTTCTATCTGTTCCCCACGAGTCATTACTATGAACAGTTGTATTTTCTTACCCTCTTCTTACCTTCCCAACTTCTCTGGGGGAGACATCTCAGTCATTTCCATGGCTCTGCACCCTTCTCTGGGATGGAATGTGGAGACAGAATTCTTAGGTTCTGTCTTTTACTTCATGAAGATCCAGCATATATTTTCTAGCAAGTCTGAGCGAACTACTGCGTGTAGGAACAAATTGTGAATATTACATGCTTGGTACAATGCAGTCTGGTTCCTATGTATAGCAGCTGTCCAAAGACAAGTAGCTGTGGTCTTGAACTACTTTTAGGTTCTATTTGCTAAAAAATGTTTAGCAATTTATAAATTCAAAAGATGTTCTTAATATTGGGAACTTGGAAAATCCAGAAAAATGTCTTTATGATATTACTGACAAGCTTTAGCTGAGTGGTGAAAGGCAGAGAACATTTAACTAACAAGATCTTCAAATATCAAATATGATGCTGAAACTTAAACTCAATTTCTAATAATCTAGCATGGTTTACAAATTAGAGAGACAATATAATCAAAAGTTAGCACTTCAGCTTGGCTTGGTCATTGGGTGGCAGTGTTGCATGCCTTGAATCCCAGAATTCAGGAGGCAGAGGCAGATGGGTCTCTGAGTTTGAGGCCAGCTTGGTCTACAAAGTGAGTTCTAGGACAGCCAGGGCTACTCAGAGAAACCCTGTTTTTTTTTTTTTTAATAACAACAAACAAGCAAACAAAAATCTAAACCCCAAACCAACCAACCAACCAAACAAAAGAAGCTGGGTATGATGGGGGAGGTCCTTCTGTGTATGTTTATCTTATTGATTGTTGAACAAAGCACTGTTGGCCAATAGAGGAGCAAGATAGGTGGGGCTAGGAGTTGAGAAGAATTCTGGGAAATGTGTAAAGAGAAGTCTTGTGATCCAGGCAGGGGGTGACATAGCAGACAGACTCAGAACATAAGCAGGGACAAGCAGGGACCTCCTTTTCTCTGAGAGCCACCATGTGAGCCCGACAAGAGAGGATGCATGGCACCTGTGTCCTCGATCAGATAAGTCTTTATAAAATATATAGATTAATAATTATGGTTGATACTTAAGACAGAGATAGCAGATAAGAAATCCTAGTCATTGGCCAGCAGCATTGTATCTAATATTAATCTCTGTGTGTTATTTTGGGCACCCATGTGGTGTGGGGCTTGGGCGGCTTGGCGGAAAGATTTATCCTTACAAAATGACATAAAGAGTTATTGTTACATAGGTATGGTGGTATTTGCTTGTAATTGAACTTCTAGCACTCAGGAAGATGAGGCAGGAAGACCACAAATTTAAGGCAACATAGCAAGTGCTGGACCAGTCTTGGAAACATATGAGGATACCCTGTTTAAGAAATAAATAAAATGTAATAATTCTTGAGACAGTCTCACTGTGTATCCAGACTTAAACTCTCAATCCTCCCTTGGCCTCCCACATGCTGGGATTATAGGCATATGCCACCAGGTCAGGGTCACCCAAAAATTCTGTTTTTGAATATCTTAAGTGTCCATGCTCAGGGTAAGGGTTGTAGCCTAGTGTCACAGCACCTGCTAAAAATGTGTGAGGTTTTGAGTTCAATCCTAGTAGAAAAAACAGATGTCTACACTCAAGACATTACTCTTGCTGAGATAGCTGAAAGGTTTTTAGTAAAATGGCACTTTTTACGACTGTGACATCAAATTTAATGTGTGGGATCTTGAATGTTCTAGGAAAGTAGTGGACAATAGTGCAATTTATCACTTTTCATGTCTCAGCAGTTATGAACCTGAACTGTTTCCTGGCCTTATTTATAAGATGGTGAGACCACAGGTGGTGTTGCTCATCTTTGCATCTGGAAAAGTTGTGTTGACAGGTAAGTTCAACGTTATTATCTTACATTCAAGATAAAAAGCGTTGTGTATGCTTTGCTTGTCCTTCTGAATGGCTTTTCCTCCATAACAAGGTAATTTTTGCTGTACTGTGGAAAAAAGTAAAGGGGAAATGATCTCATTCAATGATCTCAATCCTTAAAATGATACATTTTCAGGTGTCATATTACTTGATGTTCATTTTCATCTTGCCATCCTGTGTTATATTGACCATTATTGTGCACGAAGCTTAACTTGCTGCTTCAAACTCTTCAAGGAGGCTTCTTAATAAAGTTGCACAGAGTTCCTGAGGCAGGGATTGGTGCAGATTCTCTGTAAAGGCCAAACACTAAATATTTAGAATTTGTGGCCCCAAGAGTCTCTGGTTGAACTGGCATCATATACAGGCTTTGGACTGTGAGTTATGTGACTATGTGACTATGAGTATGTGACTATGATTTAAGTGTGTCACATAATAGTACTCTTTTTCTTTTTTCTTTTTTATATATTTGAATTACAAACAAGATTGAATTACATGACGATCCCAGATAATACTACTCTTTTATTTTCTCCAAATGACTTAAATATAGAAGTCATTCTTGTGTCACAACTGATGCATATAGTCAGTACACTGGCTTTGCCAGCTACCCTATACTTCCCGAGTCCTGTTCTAACAGGTTACTCAATAAAACTTGTCCTCCATTATCACACATTTCTATGTTCCTTCATGTTTGTTACTTATAAATAGGACAAACATTTGACTATCTAATTTGTGGACAATTATTAGTGCAAGTGCTCAGAAACAAACTTTTGTTTAAATATATTACTGTTTTTAAAAGTTATTAGCATAAATTTCCAAATTCTTTTATATCAAACCTTCCTTCCAACAGTGTATCTAAACATCTTTTGAACAAACTTCCAGCAGCAGAAGGCTGGGTATGATTGCACTCATCGGTGTTGCTACCTCTTGGGTAGCAGAGTCAGGCAAATCTCTGAGAAAAGAGGTCAGCCTGGTCTGCATAGTTTCAGACCACCAACCAGAGTTACACAGTAATACACATCCCATTGCCCCCCCACCAAAAATTAGCTAGTTCAAGTCATTGTATTGCTGGTTGGTGTGTCACCTGGCTAAAATGTGGAGATGCATTCATAAATCTGATGTCCAAAAGATGGATCCTTAATTTTTGGTACCTACCAGGTGTGTGTACTGTTGTTAGGATGATAGTACCTATCTGGAAGCAATCTTGCCCTGTGGAGACAGATGGTAGAATTATATATTTTACTGGATCTCATTGAACCAGAAGATAAGCCATATGTACTTAGACCAACTATCCAGTGTCCCTGATCCTGCCATATAATCTTCAAAGACAATAAAGTGGCCTAGGTTTTTGTGAAATGATGTTGTTTTCAAAGGACTTCACACAAATGTTAGTGTACATAACTCCCTTCTTACTCTGTGATAGGGGTTTCTGTCTTTCTGGCAAGGAACCTGAAACTTGGCGGTCTGGAGAGATGCTTATTAGATAGTGGTACAGCTGCTGTTTGGGCTCTTACTCAGTTTCAAGCTGGTCCTTTCTCAGTGTATGAAGCCACATCTTGCCACCAGGGTTGGTAATGGTGTGTATCCCAAAGGGGCAGTCATTGCAGCACACAAAAAGGCATGGTAAGCTTTCCTCAAAATGCTGGGGTCACCCAGTTGGTGCCGATGCTGCTATAAGGTAGAGGCTTTCATTATTAATTGTTAATTAGACTATGAGACTAAGTTTTCCTTTGATGCTCATACTTTAGTGAGGAAATGTCAGATGAAGTCTGGGACTCAGTCAGAGGGAAAAGGGTTTGCTTAGAATGTAAAAGGCACTGGGTCTGATTGCCAGCACCACATCTAGTATTAATTGGACAAACTCTAGTTTTAATACATAGGAGTGAGCACAGGTGATATTTGGTTGGTGGTTTCTGGTGTAAAGGAAGAAATGCTGGCTGCATGTCTCCTTCATTGCTGTTTTATGATTTAGGTAATTTCTTGGGCCTCTTTTCCTTCATTTATGAAACAAGGGGACTGTACACTCTATTGTGTCAGCAACCATTGTTGCTAAAGTAAAATACTGGCTGTATTTCTGCTTCCCCGGGGTCTCCAGGTGGTGTGTTCATGTTTGAGCACAGTGTTCATAGGTACAGTATTTTATGTAAAGCCTTATGGAAAAAGCAAATCAGTGTTTATCCCAAATGCCGAACCTGGATGCCCTGTTCCTCAAGGAACTGTGAAAAGAATGTCTACCCTGGAGTTTTCTGTGGTGTGCATGCCTGCCTCACCTAGTGCATGCCATTCTCTGATGGCAAAAAAAGCCTATTCCAGATACAAGTGTTCACAAGCCAGAGGCAAGTTCTTTGTCAGTAACCTTGTACTTTTTGGTGTCCCCATCTCACTGTTTGGTTTACATAAAACTGATCTCTTTGGAAAGGGAAACTTTAATATTCTAACTCTGATAAGACTTGGATGGATTTTCCACCCCCAAGGTACAGAGTTTCTCTTATCTCTGAGTAATTCACCTTCTTCCTCCCTCTTCCATCTTTCAGGATGCAGACCTACAAAATTCAAACTCCTTAGCAAGGAATAAATCAATCAATCAATCAATCAATCAATAATTTGCCGTTAACAGCCAAAAAGTAAACTAGACTTACAAGAACTTCCTTCTTACTTCTTTAAGATTTTTTAAAATGTAATTTATTTAACAAACTTAACCACTTGAAAGTGGGTTTTTTAATACATTTAGTGTCTGCAATGCAATGTGATGATACCACTACCTCCAGTACTAAAACATTCCATGGCTCCAAATAAGTCTCTATATCACTGAGCAATTTTCCATGTTCTCCATCAGCCACCAGTGTCTGTTGTCTTCATGGATTTGCCTATTTTGGATATTTCATCTAACTGTAACCATTCCTACCTTTTTGGGGTGTGTGTGTGCCTGGATTTGTTTCAACTGTTGAGGCATGTCCAAATTTTACACTGTTTATGGCTGAATATACTCTCTTGTGAACATGCATTGAGATTTTTCTTCATTGATGGCCACAGAGGTTGCTTCTCTTTTTGTTATAACTGCTGTTGCAATTCCAGTCTTCACTGTATTTCTGCTTTTGGTTTTGTTGAGGGGTTTACTTGAGTGGAATTGCTGGGTTGTATGCTGATCCCTTAGCTTTTGAGGAACACCCAACTTGGGGGCTGAACCCCAGGTTACAGTCCCTCTAGCAGTTCAGAGGTTACTGAACTTCCACATCTTTCAGTTGTTTTTTTCTTTAGTAAAAACATTACAGCTCAACCCTGATCTGAATTCTGATCAATCCTCTTTTTGCATCTTCTTCCTCATTGGGCCTGGAGCTAAGCCAAATAATCACTCTTAGGTTTCTTTCTTTTTTCCTTGTAAGCCCTGCATCTCTGAAGGAAGGGGTCTATGACTTCAGAAATTCCAAGTTATTCACATAATAACAGGTTGTTGTTTTTGAAACAGGGTCAGCTGTGTAGCTCAGGAGGGCCTTGAACTTATGACAAGTGACAGGCTATAGGCATGAGTCACCACACCTGGTGCTTACCATTTTTATTGTTTCTGCCCACAAATATGTCAGATGCAAATTCCTGTTTAGCTGAAGCCCCAGTCACACATAGGAAGAACCAGTCCATGACATGCATTGGGTTGTTCCCTATCAACTTTTGAAGGTGGAGAGGGTGGTGACGGATGGTTGTTGGTGAGAGACAAGTGGGAACTGACTCATATTTCTCAAGGGAGAGTGTCTAATCTGTTTTTAGTGCTCCAAGTGCATGTAGTCATATCCTAATAGTTAACAGTTGCTGACACCTAAAAGTCTAAAAGTGAAATAAATTTTCCCTCTAATTATATCCTATGTGTCAAAAGTTGGAAACTCTTAGAATGACTCTAGCTTGTCTGATACTATGAAGACAAGACACTAACCAGAATGAGTGGATCCCAGGAAGTCATTTTTGCTAGTAGTTCACAGGTGCTGGGAATGTAACTCTGTCATGTTGTAGCACGCTAGCAGAGCATTCCATCTATGTTTTTACTGAGCCTTGTATTACCAAAGACAACATCCACAGAGAGGAAATTCTAAAGGAATCTTTGCCCTATGAATGTGTTTTGGGAATACTATGGTTATAGTGCTCCTCCTCCATTTCTTGTCTTTATTAGAAAGAAATGCCATCTACCATGAACAGAAGAGGTATTATCTAGAGACCATCACAAAACTCCACATCCTTGTAATCCCAGCACTGGGGAGGCAGATACAGATGGATTTATACTGAGGTCACCCTGGGCTGTTTATCTAGAGACCATGTTCCCCCCCCCCAAAAAAAAACAGCAATTGAATATGGTGAAATGAAATTTTAGCATTGAAACTGTTTTTGTTGTTGTTCTTATGTTAAAATTTATATACACTTGGATTTCTTTATAGGTGCCAAAGAGCGTTCAGAGATCTATGAAGCATTTGAAAACATGTATCCTATTCTAGAAAGTTTTAAGAAAACCTGAGTGTGTCATTGGGTTTTTCATATTGTAATGCTTTGGATATGTGCCTAAGCACAGCAGAGAAAGAGTGGGTTTCTTCTACACATGACTGTAGAAGTCTCTCATGCTGTCTAGCAATCTCTGTTATTATGCCAATAGAATTGTTTCTTGTTTGATTTTTTTGTCTTGATTTGGAAACAGGGTCTGTTGGGTAGCCCAAAATGCAGTTTGATTTATTACAAGGTGATTCTGTGTGAATAACCATGGTTAAGAAATGAAAATTTCTTACTCAAAAATGACTCTTGTATGTTATTTAATTATTAAAACATTTCATGCCTTGCTAGACCGAGGCAATAAGTCCATGCTTTATTTTTAAATATGTAATGCATTAAAATGTGTTCTCTGAAGACAGTGATACATCTGGGTACTATCTGTGATATTGTAGCTATCAATAGAAAGTCATGTTTAGGTTTTGTTATTCTTTTTCTATTTGAAGTATAGAAGAGATGAAATCCAGACCCTTTGGTGACAGATACTATGAAAATTGCCTTTGGGCAGACAATGAAATATCCAAAACCTTAAAACCCTTTGTTTGAAATGACCATATGAAATTGTTCTCCAGTTGCCACCAGTCTCGGTTATTTTGTTATTGTGCTAATAGCATTGTGTTTGTTTGCTTGTTTGGTTTTTCAGAAATTATTATGGTTTAGGGAAAGCTATTTGAAAAATAATAGAGAGAATTTGGGCTTTTTTGATTAGTTTTCTAATACTATCTGATTGTATTTAAACAGACCCTGGAGAAGGAGCAAAGAGTTCAGAACAAAGGTCTGGGCCACCAGCATTTGATGATGGGCACAGGAAGATTGACAGGCAGCCTGCTCTCTTCTGATCCAGGCTCTAGGCCTCACATGGGGCTACTGATATTGTCCTTTCTAAGGTAGAGAAGCCTTCAGGTAGAATTCATGGAAAATGTCTCTTGGTTTCTAGGAGGCAGCTCTGAGCAATGGGGTGTGTGATTTGGGGCAGAAATTCAGAGCATTCATCAGCAGACAACCTGCTGAAGCCACCCTTAGAATCACTGGTCCAAGTGGACCTGCAGCTCCATTTCTCTGGTCTTTACAATGGTTTAGAGGCACATTCAACAACCTGATACAAACCCTCTCTCTCTAAAGAAACTTAGAGGAGTCAAGTCCATATTCTCTAAAAGCACGGCACAGGGGGTAGGGAAGGACAAAGGGCACTAGAACTCACATTTCTGGCTTTTCGGGTGGTGCATGCCTGTAATCCCTTTGCTCAGGAGGATGCCACAGCAGGTTTGGGACAGGCTACATAGAAGGGCACTATCCATTAAAACCAGATTTCAAAAATCTACAACTTTGATTTGCACCTTTGGTATGTTTTCCACTGATGTGCTTGCAAAGTGTGAGGCTGCTATAGGTTTTTGTATTAACCCTTTGGACATTATGGGGATACTGTGATCATATCCACAACTGCATGAAAATCAGGCAGAGGTTAAGGGGTTTTCTCCAAATACCACAGCAATTAAGGAGGAAGATGAGTCAAACTTCAAAGTAGTCCTGAGATGGAACTCCCAACGTTGCTTCCTGCAGTTTTAACCAAACCTCAAAGTATCTTTGGTAAATAAAATTAATTGTTCCATTCCATACCATATACAGACAATAGAATCCTTGAAACACCCTATTACTATGCTTTGAAAAACCACAGAGGCATTGGTGTGGCTCAGCAGGTGTTGCAGCCCTGCCTCTGGAAGGCACTGAGTAGGACCCTGGGCATCCAGAATCCTTGCCCAGGCCTTTATAATAAACCTGGACCCAGGCCCCTCTCCAGGCCTCTTTAACTTCACAATGACCTTGGGACCACTTCTCCCCATACCTCACCCCCATCCAACTTGCTGGTGAGCCTGACTAAGTTACATGGGCCCTACATATTAGAGAGAAAGGACAGCTTCATTAGTTCTCTGACCTTCACATGCATACTGTGGAATACCCTCCCCACCCCTCACATAGTCGATGAATTTATCAAAGGGCTCCTATGTGCTATGTGTAAAGGCCCCAAGTCAACAGATGAAAAACTAAAGGTGGTGTTTGAGTGACCTCTTCTGGCAAATGGATCTTAATGCATTTTTCTTGAGGAAATGAAGAGCATAACAGGCTGAGCAGGCTACCCACTTTGTCATTTGCATCAAATGTCATTGGTCAAAGTTAGAATGGTTCCTAGGTATCTGCTAACCCACAAGATAGGCCCCTGTCTTAGTTAGGGTTTCTATTGCTGTGAACAGACACCATGACCATGGCAACTGTTATAAAGGAAAACATTTAATTGGGGATGGCTTACAGTTCAGAGATTTAGTCCATTATCATCATGGCAGGACATGATGGCATGCTGGCAGACTTGGTGCTGGAGAAGGAGCTGAGTAGTTTATATCTTTGATCCACAGGCAGCAGAAGCATCTCTGTGTTTCACTGGGTGTGGCTTGAACATATATGAGACCTCCATGCCTGCCTGCAACAAGGCCACACCTACTCCAACAAAGCCACAGTTTTCAATAGTGCTACATACCCTGTGGGGACCATTTTCTTTCAAACTCCACAACCCCACTTCTTCCACTTGTTTCTCTCCTTCCATTTGAATGCAAAGACTGTGATAAAACAAAATTATATTCACAAGCATAGCTATGTCTGATTATTCTGTGCAGGAAACACCAGCAGTAAATGGTGAAGAGGTAATGGCAAGACTTAAGTGTACAAGAAGGGATGGTTATGAGAGCAGGGTAGGGGGTGGGGTGGAGGCTGGAAAGATCTCAGCAGGTAAGAGCACAGGGTCCTGGTTTGCCTCACAGTACCCACAGAGGCTAGCAGAGAGGCTGACAGCCACCCGTAATTCCACTTCCAGGATATGCAGCTCCCTCTTCTGGTCTCCACCAGCACCTGGCACTTAGGAGGTGTACCCTCTCCCTCTAATACAAGCAGGCAAAACATCCAGAGACATAAAATGAAATTAAGGTGGGTCACACAGATCTGGTACAGGTCCTAATTTCAACCATGGCCCCAAAGCATTACCTAGTCAGAAAACTCCAGATGTACTTCTGCCCTAGTAGAGCCACAGGGCATCTGTAGCCAATTAGAATAACCTGCAACCTGATACCACAGAAATACCCTTGTTACCTAACAAGAATTGCTTCCTGGGAAAAGGCACCATAAAGTTGTTCACTCTAACCTAAAGAGGACTCCCCCTCCTCCTCATTTTCCTCTTTCCCTTCCTTCCTCTTCTCTTTCTTCTCCATTATTATTGAAAATATTCTTTTCTCAAATAATGTATTCTGATTATGGTTTCCCTCCTTACACTCCTCCCAGTTACTCTCCATCTCCCACTCCATACAGATCTATTCCCCTTCGCTCTCTAGATAAAGAACAGGTTTCTAGTAGATAATAAAATATAAGACAAAAACTATCACGTAGAGTTGGACAAGACAAACAAAAGGAGCCCAAGAGGAGGCACAAGAATCAAGAGACCCACTTACTTGCTCACTGGGGAATCACATAAAAACACTAAACCAGAACACACACACACACACACACACACACACACACACACACACACACACACACACACGTATGTGCATATATGTGTATTATGTATGTGTATATACAGAGGGTCTAGTGCAGACCTGTGCAGCTCTTATGCATGCTGTTTTATTCTATGAGTTCATGTGAGCTTATGTTAATTTAGAGGGCTTTGTTTTCTTGGTGTCCTCCATCCTCTTCTGAAGGGTTCCCTGAGTTCTGGGGGGAAAGGTTTGATAGATTCATCCTACCCAATGTTCCAAGGTTTCTGACTCTCTGTATAATGTCTGGCTGGGAGTATCTATAATCTACTGAAGGAGGAAACCTCTTCAAGACGCTTGATCTGTGAGTGTAGCAGAATATTATTAGGAGTCACTTTATCACTACATTTTTTTTCCTTTTTGTTCTTTAGTATTTGGTCTTCTGCTTGGTTCCTGGACTATATACTTTCAGGTTCTTGATTACCCAAGCAGCACCAGGTAAGGGTTCCATCTTGTAGAAGTCAAATAAGACACTTTTTATTCCCACAAGCTTTGCACCACCATTGCCCTAGCATAACTTGCAGGCTGGACACCATTGCAGATTAAAGGGTTTGTGGCTGGCTTGGTGATTCTCTTTTGAGAGAGTGCAGAATACCATCCTGTACCAAAGACACTAGAATGTCGGGGTGAAGGCTCTATGTAAGCACTAGTTGGGTTTCTCCATGTTCACTGATTTGTACAGGTGGTGTCTTCAGGAATGGGGCCTTGCTGTTCAGCTAATGGAGCACAGCCTATAGTATTGGCACCAGCCTGGGTTGTTTGGGGAGTCCCATGAGACCCCTTTGGCCAGCAACTCAATTTGATGTAACCCAATTCCAATACTGGAGGCTTCATTTAGTGACAAGAGATGACCAGTTGAAACTCATCTCCCTAATTATTTGACAATTTCATTTAATTGCCTTTATAATGTATATGATATTTATATATTATAATATATGCTTATATATTATATAATAATTATTATGATCTATATGTGCCTTAACATATATGCATATACATACATATGGCCATTTGAGGGGTAGTGTATATATTTATTATTAGTGTATGTATTAATTTCAGCTGTTTCTCTGTATTCCCTTCCTCATTCCCTTCCCCTCTGCACTTGATCCTCCTGTTCCAGCCCCTCATCCTTCCATAACTATCTGTTTTATTTCTCTTTCCTAATGAGGTCTATCTGTTCTTTCTAGTCTCTTATTCTATACCTAAGATTAGGGACAAATAACACTAAGGTTGTTTGATAAAGCCTCAAGGCATTTCTTCCCTCTAGAATTCTATAGAATATGGTTTGGTTATCACTGACTTAACAGTGAATATGAACAAATAAATGAATACATGCCATATTTGTCTTTTGGGTCTGGGATTTCTTACTCAGGGTGGTTTTTTCTTTAGTTCCATTCATTTGTCTGTAAATTTTGTAAAATTTGTCATTGTTTTTGTTTTTTCTTTATATTTTTCTTTAAATTAGAAACAATCTTATTTTATATATCAATCCCAGTTACCTCTCTTTCCCATCCACCCAGCACCCCCACCAACCCCTATCCCATTTCCCTTCTGCTCCCCAGGGAGGGTGAGGTCTTCCATGAGGGATCATTAGAGTCTGTCACATCATTTGGGGCAGGGCCAAGCCCCTCCTCCATGTGTCTAGGCTCTATGGGGAATGAGCTCCCAAAGTCCATTCATAAACTAGTTATAAATACTGTTTCACTACCAGAGGCCTCATAGACTTCCCAGGCCTCCTAACTGACACACACATTCAGGCGGTCTGGTTCAATCGTTTGCTGGTTTCCCAGCTGTCCAGTCTGGGGACCATGAGCTCCCCCTTGTTCAGGTCAGCTGTTTCTATGAGTTTCCTCAGCCTGGTATTGACCCCTTTGCTCATCACTCCTCCCTCTCTACAACTGGATTCCAGGAATTCAGCTCAGTGCTTAGCTGTGAATCTCTGCTTCTGCTTCCATCAGCTACTGGATGACGGCTCTAGGATGGAATATAAGGTAGTCACCAATCTCATTATAGGGGAAAGGCTTTTAAGGTAGTCTCTCAACTTTGCTTAGATTTGTAGTTGGGGTCATCCTTGTAGATTTCTGGACATCTCCCTAGTGCTAGATTTCTCTTTAAACCTATAATGGCTTCCTCTATTAAGGTATCTCTTTTCTTGCTCTCCTCTGTTCTCTATTCTTCCCCTGACTCAATCTTCCTGCTCCCCCATGTCCTCTTCTCCCTCTTCTTCCCCCATTCTCTATCTCCTAACTTCCTCTCCCCTGCTCTCATGCTCCCAGTTTGATCAGGAGATCTTGTCCCTTTCCCCATCTCCAGGGGACCCTGTATGTCTCTCTTAGGGTCCTCTTTGTTTCCTAGCATCTCTGGAGGTTGGATTGTAGGCTGGTAATCCTTTGCTCTATGTTTAATATCCATTTATGAGTGAGTACATAAAGGTCACCTCACTCAGGATGGTCTCTCTAGTTCCATCCATTTGCCTCCAAATTTCAAGATTCCATTGATTTTTTTTCCTCTGAGTAATACTCCATTATGTAAATGTACCACATTTTCTTTATCCATTCTTAAGTTGAGGGGCATCTAGGTTGCTTCCAGGTTCTGGATAATAATGCTGCCATGAACATAGTTGAACATATGTCCTTGTATGAATGGGCATCCTTTGGGTATATGCCTAGGAGTGGAATTGCTGAATCTTGAGGTAGACTTATTTCTATTTTCCTGAGGAACCACCATACTGATTTCCAAAGTGACTGAACAAGTTTGCACTTCCACCAGCAGTGTAGGAATGTTCCCCTTTCTTCATATCCTCTCCAGGATAAACTGTCATTGGTGTTTTTGATTTTAACCATTCTGACAGGTGAGATGGTATCTCAGAGTTGTTTTGATTTGATTTTCCCTGATGGCTAAGGATGTTGAACACTTTCTAAGAATTTTTAGATTTTAGATTTCTAAGAATCATTTTAGATTCCTCTATTGAGAATTGCCTATTTAGTTCTGTACTCCACTTTTTTTTTTTGATTTTTCGAGACAGGGTTTCTCTGTGGCTTTAGAGGCTGTCCTGGAACTCACTCTGTAGACCAGGTTGGTCTTGAAATCACAGAGATCCCCCTGCCTCTGCCTCTCGAGTGCTGGGACTAAAGGCGTGCGCCACCAATGCCACTCCACTTTTTAATTGGATTATTTTGTGTTTTGGTGACTAGCTTCTTGAGTTCTTTGTATATTTTGGAAATCAGCCCTCTGTCATTTTTTTAATGGCTGAGTAATACTCCATTGTATAAATGTATCACATTTTCTTTATCCTTTCTTCTGTTGAGGGACATTTAGATTGTTCCCAATTTTTGGTCCTTATGAACAGAGAAGCAATAAACACGGTTGAACAATTGTCTTTGTGGTAGAATGAAGCATCCATTGGGTATATACCCAAAAGTGGTTGTATTAATCAGGGTTCTCTAGAGTAACAGAATTCATAGAAAGTATCTCTATAGAAAGGGAGTTTATTAGAATGCCTTATAGGCTGTGGTCCAGATAATCCAACAATGACTGCCTATGAGTGGAAGTTCCATGAAGCCAGTAGCTATTCGGTTCATGAGGCTGGATGTCTTAGCTGGTCATCAGTAGATGCTGGAATCCCAAAGAAGTAGGTTCTACTGCCAGTGAAAGTGAGGCAAAGGCAATCAAGCAAAGAAGTCTTA